ATATTGAGGGTTGGTCCCAGGCTCAGAACAATGGACAGCCTTCAGACATCTGTCCGTCGTTCTTCTTACACGAGTGGGGACTGGGCCAACACCATATCTACCTCTACCCGTTATCACAGCAATATTTTGGGGCCCCTCGCTGGGGGGGCAGGCCTTCCGTTCCATCAAGGGAGAAGGGAGGAGAGGGGGAGGAGGGGAGGAAAGAAGGGCAGGGAAAAGAGAAAAAGAAAAAGATAATAAACAAAAATTAACTTAACTTTCTTAGCACTTCTAATCTGTGGGTCCTTCTTCCTTCGGGGGCCTCTCAGCCCCAATATAGCCCCACCAGGGGTGTTTCCCCCCCAGGGAAACCTGGAGGGACCAAGAGGGTTCTTGTTTCCAAAGTCCTCAGTCCGAGCAGTTCCGCTCCAGTGGTGGGACCTATAGTAATTCCCATTTTACAGACTTGGAAAGGAGCTGAGAGTTATACATGCATGTGTGTGTTCAGAAATGTGCCATGCTGCATGCACTATGCTTTCTCGAGTACAGTATGAGAAGTTGTACACAGCGAATGGTGGCCCAGGATCACCCTATGGATGAACAGCTGTGATTCTGACCCCTTCCGCCTGCTGGGCGCTTGTTTTAACTTACCTGGCATTTGCAGAAGCCAGCCAGGAGACGTATCTGGTTCCCAGTAATAATAAAACAAAGTGTAGTTTTTGGATTAATCTTGGAAAGATAACTTAATTGAAACACTTTAAAAGTCTGGTGATAGTAACTGGTTGTCATTGAGAAGGAGATAAGTTAAACTCTTCTCTCTGTCCTGCTATGTTTTCATCAGGGGGGTGCCTCGCTTCTAAAAATGGGGGCCACTCCCCCTCACAGAGCATTCGTTGTGCTTGATTCTGGAGTCAGAAAGGAGGGCCGAGTCTTAACCTTTCTCTGGTCAGGTGATATTTCTCCATTTGTTTGCTCTCCCCCCCCCAAAAAAAATTCACAGGCTGCCTCTATCTATTGGAGAGCGTAGGGGTTACCCTGCTGCTGGTGGTGTGAGTATGGGCAGGTGCCACCAGGGGGCAGCAGGTGTCTCCTTTTGGGTGATCTCCAAGTTGTCTTTTGGGCTCATTTGCTCTGGAGCTTTGAGGTGGCTTAAGCCTTGGTGGGAGGATTCCAACTTACAGGGCAGGCAGGCAGGCCGGCAGACAGGCCACCGTATGAATGAGTGGTGGCTTCTGAATGGTCCTGTCTCTAGCAACCCAGTTCTCCCACCCCCTGTGTCTGGATTTGGTTTCAGACCCACTTGTTTCTCTTTCTGGCAGTCCATGGCACCGGTAAACCTTTTTTTTTCAGCATTTTTTTCATGTTCCCTTTCTTCACTGCCTAGCTTTCATGTCTCCCTAGACTCCTTGAAAGCCATAGCAAGTAAGACCTTGCTCTCGGTCTGCAGGCAGGCCTCTTTGTCCTTAAAGTTCGTCTGGCTATCTTGTAATAGCCACAGCAGGGTGCCCCCCCCTCCGATCTGGCACGTTGAGCCTTGCTGCCCTGTTGAGGCAGCAGAGAATGTTGCTCTTGGTCAAGACACGGTTATGTAAGGCAGGCTGTGTAGCCCCTGAGGAAAACTCATGAGAGGGTGGTGGTGCTGGGGATCTCACACCCTCCCTGTGGCCTGCCAGACGAGGCACAGGGGTGGCCCCTATAGAGCCATGTGTGGGACTCTCTGGCCTCAGGGCTGTTCCGATGCTCTCAGCCAAGACCTGAGAGGAGAGGCAGAAGAGACAGGAGGTGGCTGGCAGGAAGCGAGAGAAAGGACTAGGGAGAGAGGTCCGGAGGGCTGGTCAGAGGCAGCCTCAGAAGCCTGATTGGTTGCCATGGGTCTCAGCCCCTGGTCCTGCCTCTGTTCCTCCTTCCCTTTTTAACGGGGGCTGGAAGAAGCAGAGCAGAAGTTCCAAAAGGGCGAAGACCTGAAGAAGACCCAGGTGGGAGGCCCAGGGAGTTGAGCAAAGGAAGGGCCAAGCACAGGCGGAAACAGGTGTGGCCATCTGTGGGTCGACCTGGCGGAGCAGGCCTGAGGAAGGGCAGCTGGCCAAGGACCCCCTGTGCAGAGGCTCTGGCCTGAGGCTTCAGCAGGGCAGCGATGGGGCAGGGGAGAGAGATGTGCTCAGGCATCCTGAGAAACGGGGCCTGCCACTCCTTGCACAGACCTCTCTGCCCCTGGAGGTGGGCTCCTTGCCCCGACTGGGCAACAGGGCTCAACATGCTAGATCAGGGGCACCCCCACTGTGGCTGGGGAGCGGGTGGAGCTGGCAACAGAGAGTGCTTGGAAAAAGCAGGCAGGGCTTCCCCCCATAACGACTGGGATAGTGAAATCAACACGGGAGAAGTTATGGCCAGCAGGCCTTTTCTCCGAGGGGCGTGTTGAGCAATTTGCATTCTCCTTTCTGCTTTGATCAGATTCTTCCCTTTCCCACTTTAGCCACTCAACTTGAAGGCTTCATTTAGTTGTTTCAAAATCTGGTGCATCACCCAGGGAAACTTTTTGTGCTGTTTCTTGACAAAAAGCAAGTGGAAACTGTGACTGTGAGCCAAATAATGCTTACTGTGGTTTCCAGTTTCCAACGCTGTCCTAGGGCACAGTGGTGGTGGCGGCGGCGACGTTTCTCTCTGTATCACAGGGCTGTTGTGAGGGCAGCAATGGGGACAGGAAGCCTGTCCAGCCCCTTGAGCTTCTAGATGGAAAGGCATGACGTCAGTGGAGCAGGCCAGCCCGTAGACCACCCCGTTGCCTCCGGAGCGTCACTTACAAAGTTTTGCTGATGGCAGCTGCAGGCCTCACAGCTAAGACCTCAGCTCCAGCAGAGCCTCGGAGAAAGTGCCACACACCATCTTGATTAGCAAGCTCGTTTGCTGTGGGCTGGATAGAGCCCAGGGGTCAGGTGGATACACAGCTGGCTACAGAATTGTCGTCCGAGGGTGTTGATGATTGGGTCCTTCTCCAGCCGGGGGGAGGTCACAAGTGGGGGTATGCCAAGGCTCAGTCCTGGGCCCAGTGCTCTTCATTAAATTAAAATAAATTAATGACTTTGATGACAGAGTGCAGGGAATGCTTGTCAGATTTGCAGATGATACCAAATGGAGCAGAATAGCTTAACACCCTAGAAGACAGAAACAAACATCAAAATGACCTTGATAGGATGGGGCACGGGGCCAAAAGCAACAGAATCAGCACGTGCCAACTGGGCGCAAAGTGTGCCACAGACGAACTGGTGGGAGGGAGACCGAACAGGCTTCCTGTGATGTGCAAGGGGCCCTCCTGCGCCCTGCGAGGCTGCCTTGTGGAGGACGGAGGGCGTCTGCCTCCTGTCTTCTTCCTTTTCTCCTT